CCGCTGTGCAAATTCGGAGGACATGAGCACGACTACAACCATTAATTGGCCGCTTGTAAGGACAAGCGGGCCAACCCAGATGTCGGGGGTTTCCAGAAATCTTGACCTACACCAAAAGTGGACATTGCCCTACCCATAGTAGTATAGGAGTAGTTTGGTTTCATTGGTGTGTATATTTCTTTGGTTATAGAGAAACTCTCCTTGTCTTTTAAGGAAACGGAACAAGGGGCAAAAACTTTACCTTCGATTATCTAAAAACAGCACTTTCCGGGATAGCCCCCTTGTACTTAAAAGCGACCAACTGAATTAAAGAAAAAGAAAGAAACAAAAAAAGACAAAACAGATACCACATGGAACTGGGGATGTCCGAGGAAAGAGGTAAGAAATATGAAATACCAGTGGCGCCCTCTACACACCTTAACAATCCGACAGAAACAAAATGTGCATAATATAATACTAATCATTACCCCCCCCCCCCCCGACACACACACAAAAAAACCCCAACAACAAACAAAAACAAAATCCCCCACTCGCGAATCGAAATCTCGTTTTGTGCCTGTGACGGCGAAGAGCCCCGACCTAGCCACAACAAACACAGACGCTGTTGTATTTCGACAGGTCACCAAATAGGGATAATGTGTGGGTGGTTGGCTGGTGCTCTGGTGTGGTTTGCTTCTTCTTTCCTATGAGACATCTATCGTCCTTATTTCCCCTTTTTCTTTTTTATGTTTGTTACTCTCTTGTAACACCTCTAATCTTCTGGCGCTCATATGACCTTATGCAGTTGCGAGCGCGGTAAAACTCCCACAAAAACAAAATAGGGATAATATATAATACATGTACATGTTGTATTATAATACATAGTATGTAATTGTGAACCTTAGAATAAGGAGCTGCAGACAGAGCAAGCAAGTCCACCGACCACTTGGCCAGCACAGAGACAGTGAGAGTACACTTCTATTCCTGTTTGATTTTTACTGCTACTATCATCAATAGTAACATTTTTGTATGTTGGTGTTATTAGGACCCCGCCCCCACCCCAAATAAATAAATAAACAAATAAATAAATAAATTATAGTTTTAGTAAGAGTTTTACGGCACTTGCAACACAATAAAGCCATATGAGTGCCGAAGATTAGAAGTGTTATAAGTGAGTAACAAACACAAAAAAGGAGAAGAGATACGAACGATAGTTGTTTGATAGGAAAGAAGGAGCAAACCACACTAGAGCATCCGCCAACCACCTGTTATAAATAAATAAATACATACATACATACATAAATAAATAAATAAACTAAAAAATAAATAAATAAAACAGTGTAATGAATAAATAAACCTAATTCTCGACACAAGGTCTCATTTGGGAGGCAGACTTCGGCCTAGCCCCAGGGCCAAACCGGGCCGATAATGATACAACGTCCGGCAGAGAGAGCGATCTCGAAACACTCGACGACAAAAAAAACAACAAAACAAAACAAAACAAACAAAAAACTCTTCCCATACGGGAATCGAACTCAGGTTGTCAGCGCGCGACGGCCAAGCGTTGCAACAATAAGGTCATATACGTGTTGAAGAATAGATGCGTTACAAGAGAGTTACATACATAAAACAGGAGGAGGAGAGATAAGGACCATAAGTGCTTGGATAGGAAAGAAAGAGTAAACCACACCAGAGCACACGCCAACCACCCACGAAGAAGAAGAAGAAAAAGAAGAAGAAGAAGAAGAAGAAGAAGAAGAAGAAGAAGAAGAAGAAGAAGAAAAAACAAGAGCAAGAAGAAAAACAAGAACAAGAAGAAAATGACAAAGAAAAAGGAGTAGAAGAAGAAGAATAGAAAGGATTTGGCGTATTGTGCGCACCCAATGCAATGAGATGCGGGCCAGGAATAAGGAGAGGGGACGTGGCCAAGACAGGTCAATAATTGTACCGACCGAGAGGAAACATGCAGTAAGGTATGTTTTGAAATTTTAATCAAAATACTGACTAGAATTACTAGAATGTTCTGACTCCATCTTTCATGTGTGGATGAGGGTATGACGTGACGGTTAAGAAAGAGAAATGGTGTTTAAATCCCATTCAGACAAACCCCCTTGCTTAATTTACA